ACAACCTGGCCCTTCAGCAGATCGCACGAGTGTCTTGGTCGTGTGTACGTTTTTTTTCTTTTTCAAGTTCCGTTTTTTTTTTTTTTTTTCAAGTTCCATTTTTTTTTTGTTTTTGAGACAGGCGCGCCATATCTACATGGCGCATGCTTGTCTCGGCTTGTGCCACTGGCGATGGCAGAGTCTTGGCCGCACTCTCTCTTTGACACACACACGCGCGCACAGTCGCACACACGCACACACACACACACACACACACACACACACACACACACACACACACACACACACGTTCGCACACATGCGCACACCCACACCCACACCCACGCTAGACATTCGCATACGTCCACAAAACACATAAGAACAAAATGAATCTCCCCCTAAAACATGGGAAGATACTCCGCCCCTAAACAGGCAAAAAAAAACCAAATTGACAAAAAACAAAAAAAGAGCAAAGATTGTTTTTGTCCAAAACAGAACCAAAAACAAAAGGAAGAAAAAAAGAAACAAAAGCACAGTGTCACGCGAGAAGGGAAAAACAAAACGACAAAAAAAATACAACCAAAAAAAAAACAAAACGCGAAAACAAAAAAAAAAGAATTTCGAGTGCAGTCGCTAAGGTGCACAAAAATCCTATGTCTCGTACGAAAGAATGAAATCCATACAAGTGGCAAGGGTAAATCCAAAATTTGCAAAACGGAAATATGGACTTCGAAAAGAAAAAAGGATCAACTGACGTAAGCTACCCACCGATACTCCAACAAATATACAACCTGAAGAATTACGAATCAGAAAGCACAACCCAAAACTTTGTGTACAAACAGGTTCGGTAAGAGCAGGGTCGGAGGTACCTTTCCCAGGTACCGGCCATGGGCCCTGCACACTGAGTTTTTGCTGCGCATCTGGCCGGTGCCGGAGGCAGAGTGCGGGGCCTCTGCCGCGTTTCGGCAAAATGCCTGGGAACAGAAAAACGAAAGGGGTCCAAGAAACAGCGCATGCTTGTAAGCGGGTGCATACGGGGGCACTTCCCTAAGGTCCACAATGTCTTCTTGGCCATGACGCAGGACAATCCTGTCCTCCTCTTCCTTATGAAGGGGCCCAGAAAAGTGCTGGTGGCTCAGAACGCATTTGCGCAAATGAGTTTCTCATGTGGAAAACTTGTGTTTTGTCCCTGTAAGTCGAGATAATTCGTGTGCGGCCCCTGTAATTTCAATTTCTGATATCCATGATGCCCCATTCTGGTGCTAGTTCAAATTTGTGGACTATCCATCCCATCACCTGCCTGTCTCCTCGGATTACTGTCAGTTGCCCCAGTACTTCCGGTCATAAGGTACAACAAGGGTGGCAATACTGAAGGCCCAGGGCCACGGCGCAAATTACATGCGTTTGTGACTGGGGCCTGCCGGGAAGTTGACCGCGTCAGAGGGACATCTCGAACACAGGGGCAAAACGCAAATTTCTCCCTCTCTCTTCTTGTTCCCGTTTCCTTGGGCGTGCTGAACGCGGGGAAAAAGGTTTGAACTTCAAACTTGATTTTTTGAATCTCAAAAAGCGCGCCGACGCTATCGCCAGTTGCGCGGTTTCTGACCGTCTTTGCGGACTTCCGCGCTCTCCGTTTTCCTTTTCTTTTGGGGCACAACGCCATTCCGCGCACTTTGCGATGTTCTGCGAGATCGCAGACAAGACGAAAGCCCGACCTGTCTTCCCCCGAACTCAACGCACCCTCATTTTGACTGTATCGGGCCGGAAACATACCTAGTATACGTTCATTTTGAGCGTGCCTTATGTTCGGTCGGGGGAAGACGGTAGTTGCACTACTCGCCATCCGCCAAAATTGAAGGGCGGGAGGTGAAAAAATTGCAGTGGCGCGGCAGGCATGGATGGAACGTTGCCACGACGGATACAGAGAAGATTAGCGTCACCCCTCTTAGCGTCACCCCCTGTGCAAGGACGGCACGCAGAAATCGAGAAATGGGCGGAACGCTCCCCTCTTAGCGCACACTGCGGTCAGATTCATGGAGCAGCGGCTGTAATTGTTTGGGGTGAGATACACCCCAGGGGAAAGTGGTAGTGTGTGAGAGTATATGGGCCAGATCCCCCTACCAAGCCCCTATTGTTCATTTCTGACTGTTGATCTTCGTAATCGAGGGTGAAAAATTAATAATCCGGGATAGTGGGATCTGACCCTATGTTCGCTCGGTAACCCAAGAGCGCGTAGCTCAGTGGGTTCGCCCATGAACTGTTGAAATACAGACCCGGGGCGTGGTCCCACTAGCAAAGAGGATCGGATCGAATGCTTGAATCTGGACGAGCTTACGGAGATGTGCAGGAAATCGAGATTGAACTGCTTTTCTGCATCTCTGCATAAAACATATCCAGATTCAGGAGCTCGATGCTATCCTTTTTGCTAGTGGGACCTCGGCCCCGGGGTCGAATCCAGATGATGATGGAACTTGATGAGTAAAGCCAATGTTCTCTCGTTACCTCTTGGACGGAGTTTTACCGCTTTCTGGCCTTCTTGTTGCCGGCTTTTCCGGGATGCCGCCGATGGTGCAACGGAGGCGGGTTGGCGGTAGGCGGGGGTGGGGGGAGATCCCCTTATTCTGGATTGAATTGAATTGAATTGAATTACTTTCTATCGTATTGCGTGTCCTGTCAATGACATGGTGTGCATGGTTGACGATGTATTGATGAGCGTTTTTCACTAGTATCCACTTTTCAAGACCTTCTTGTTGCCGGTCGAGTGGAGAAGGAACCAATCAGACTCTTGGGAATGACGATCTTCGGCGAGGATCTCCTTTGAGTTGAAGGTGAGAAGGAGATGGCGATGGTGACGGTGATGGCGATAGCGATAGTGATGGTGGACGGTTTTTTTTTTTTTTTTTTTTTTT